TCTCTTGGGGCAGTCAGAGACACCCTAATGACTTGCTTGGCAGGAAAGGGCATCAGAAGGAAGAACTAAACTGCTCTGCGTAAAACATGTTCAAGAATTGGGAGGTGGGGGCAGGAAGAACACAGAGGGTAATCAGAGAACCAGAGAGGAAACCAGAGCCAGAGCAGGCAGAATGGTGAGGGACTCCTTAAGAAAGCAGATGGTTGATATTCAGTTGGAAGTTGTTGACTTGCTGTCAACAACTCTTCTGACCCTGCACTTCATTAAAGTGGTCTACACATACAAAGGAAATAAGGAAAAGTGCTGAATTCTCCTGCTAGGCCAATGCAGTGGAGCAAAGGAGAGGATAGATGGCCTAGTGGGATGCTCAGGAAGGCAGAGTTAAAAGAGGGCATGCAAATCAAAGTGCCCGGATGCACAGAAACTTTGGGAAGCACATTCACATGGGGGCCTGGACCCTTCCTGTCTAGATCATATGGGACATGTGCTCTCAGCTAACCTCTGTGTTCTCAGAGTGCGGGCCAGAGACCAGCAATATCAGCAACATCTGAGCCTTGTTAGAAGGGCAAATTCTTAAGCCCAACCCCAGACCTACTGGATGGAACCATATGAGGTTGGGATCTAGCAATCTGTGTCTTGCCCTCCAGGCAATTTGGATACTCAAGTTCAAGTTTGAGAACTTCTGCTGTCAGGCGTTATTATTTCCATCATTGCATTCCAGTGTCCCAGTCCCCAGAGAGGTGTATGCAGAATTTCTCCCAGCACTCAGCCTGCTCCCAGCCTGGAGATAAGAACACTGCCCCTCACTTTGCACTGGAGGAAGCTTTCAGTGCCAGAAAAAGCTCCCAGCCATGGGGAGCTCCCTGCCCCTCCAGGCAGCCACTCCCTCCTGGGACCTTTCCAGTGACCCAAACGTCCATGCCTTCTAGGCTGGGGGTGCCCTCTGGAGTCACTTTTCTGAAAGAAGCCCTTCCGGACCGGAAAGACTGAAGTCTGAGTCTTCCCCTCTTCCTGTTGGTGACTTGCGCAGCATAGTGCTCTGGCCACCATGGAAGTTGGTCCCTGAAGACTGCTTATTTACCAGTTTCTCTTAGAAAATCGTCCAGGGCTGCAGACAGAGGGCAGGGCAGGCAGGGCCAGCGTGACTGTGGCCTCCTTTGCTCTGCACATCGGCTGCTGTCACTGTGGACCACACTGTTACAGGAAAGGAGCCCCAGTCCAGACCCCAAGAGAGGGCTCTCGGATCTCGCGCAAGAACGAATTCAGGGTGAATCCATAGAGTAAAGTGAAAGGAAGTTTATTAAGCAAGTAAAGAGGCTGGGCACGGTGGCTCACGCCTGTAATCCCAGCACTTTGGGAGGTCGAAGTGGGGGGATCACGAGGTCAGGAGAGCAAGGCCATCCTGGCCAGCACAGTGAAACCGCATCTCTACTATAATACAAAAAATTAGCTGGGCGTGGTGGCGGGCACCTGTAGTCCCAGCTGCTCGGGAGGCTGGGCAGGGGACTCACTTAAACCCGGGGGGTGGGGAGGAGGGGGTCAGGGGTGCCGCGGAGGTTGCAATGAGCTGAGACCACGCCACTGCACTCCAGCCTGGCGACAGAGCAAGACTCCATCTCAAAACAAAACAAAAAAAACAAGTAAAGAAATAAAAGAATGGCTACTCCATAGATAGAGCAGCTATTCCATAGACAGAGCAGTCCCGAGAGCTGCTGGTTGTCTACTTTTATGGTTATTTCTTGATGATATGCTAAACAAGGGGTGGATTATTCATGCCTCCCCTTTTTAGACCATATAGGATAACTTCCTGACATTGCCATGGCATTTGTAAACTGTCATGGCGCTGGTGGGAGTGGAGCAGTGAAGACAACCGAGGTCACTCTCGTCACCATCTTGGTTTTGGTGGGTTTTGGCCAGCTTCTTTACTGCATCCTGTTTTATCAGCAAGGTCTTTATGACCTGTATCTTGTGCCAACCTCCTATCTCATCCTGTGGCTTAGAATGCCTTACCATCTGGCAATGCAGCCCAGTAGGTCCCAGCCTTATTCTACCCAGCCCCTATTCAAGATGGAGTTGCTCTCGTTCAAATGCCTCTGACAACATCACCCCAACTCATGCACAGATTAAGGCCTCTAGAACCTCTAAGTACTAAAGAAACCATGACCTCCTCTCCACCAGTATGGAATTGAAAATAAAAATAATAACAAACCATCAAACAAATACAACAAAGCACAACAAAGCCCTGCATTCTCTCATTATAATTATTTTAGTATTATTTTTGAAAGACCAAATACCAATTTTTAAATGTTTATCTTAAAACATTTCTGAAACCTGAAAAGGTGAAAAGAATTATTAAAAACCAAAGCCTCATACACTCACCACTCAGCTTAAGGAATAAAATATTACAATATTGGCTGGGTGCGGTGGCTCACACCTATAATCCCAGCACTTTGGGAGACCGAGGCAGGCAGATCACCTGAGGTTAGGAGTTGAAGACCAGCCTGGCCAACTTGGCAAAACCCCATCTCTACTAAAAATACAAAAATTAGCCAGGTGTGGTGGCATGCACCTGTAATTCCAGCTACTCAGGAGGCTGAGGCAGGAGAATCGCTGGAACCAGGAGGCAGTGAGCAGAGATCACGCCACTGCACTCCAGCCTTCGCAACAAGAGTGAAACTCCGTCTCTCTCTCTCTCTGTCTCTCTCTCTCTCTCTCTCTCTATATATATATACACACACACACACACACATCTATGTGTATATGTGCATACATAGATATGCATATATATGTGTGTGTATATATATGTAAAACCAATTTGATTTAAAAAACTAACGGTATTTTTCAAAAAATTCTGCTTTATTGCTGCTCGGAGCCAATGGTTCTCCCATTTTGTTGCTGGAGGTGGGGACGGGGGCAGATGGGATGGCGCCCTGCACACTGAGTGGAAATGGGCTCTATTTCCTGTCCTCTGACTCCAGGGGTCAACACTTTTCTAGCTAGTTCTATCCGTGGATCCGCCCAGCTCTGAAGCCCAGTGGGGCCTTCACTGCATTTTTGGGATGAGGCTGCCATCTGCTGGCCGCTCAAGGAAAAGGCGGCAGCTGCATGTGGCCTGGGGAGGGACCTTGCCTGGAGTGTGATGGAGACATCCCAGCGTGTAGAGAGTTCCCTCACCCGTGACGTGGGCAGTGTCCCACAGCAGCTCTGGGAAGAGGCAAGCTGGGGAAAGAGAGTCACCCTCAATGGGCAGATGACCAGCTGAGCTGTGACGGGATGGTAACACATGGGGTTTCCAGGGACACTTCAGGACCCAAAAAAGAAAAAAGCCAGGACTGGGGAGAAGGGAATAACAGACGAAAGGTTTTTTAAGAAAGATAAACCCCCTAGAAGGAGAAGCAGGTGCCACTAGAGAGTCCAGAATGGGGAACAGAAGGTTCAAGCTCCAGGGCACTGGACTTTGTTCCGTCCGGAGATTGCATCAGCCCCTGTAGTAGCTCATTCCCACAGGGATTTGTCGGCTGTTCTCTCTGCCTTGAACATTCTCTCTTGCCCCAGTCCCCTTCCTCGGAGTAAATGTTTGATCAGTGCTCGAGTATCAGTAAACTATGCCCACACTGCCTCCGGGAAGTCCCCAGGGGCTGCCTTTTCCTCCACACCCTGTTCCTGCCTATAACCTCAGGTAGCCCTGTTCTGGATCAGCCTGCTTACTTGTTTACAATTTTACTGTTTACTTACCCTCAGGAGATTCCAAATTCCCTGAGGGCAGGGACGACATTTCATCCCCAGCACCAGTGCAAGCAAGAGAGTGAGAAACATTGGTTTACTAAATTGATTTTTTATGGCATTTTTGGAAAATCAGACATCATAATCTGGAATAAAAAGGAAAGTACTTTGAAACATATTTTCCCCAACAAGGTCTCCCCAGAAGTAAGGTGGAAATGATTGCCTTTTCTATTTATCTATAACCACATGTGGAGGGTGGGGGCGTGAGAACAAGAAAGAGAGAAAACAAATTATTTTCAGTTGTCATACGTTTTAAGTTATGCTGTCCTTCAGTAAACAATCATAGTAGACAGCTGCTATTTGGGGTCTGGACAGCATCCACAGCCATTCTTCCTTCAGGTAGTAAGAGCATCTCAATTTTACTTTGGCAAAAAAACCTCTTCTATTCTCCATCTATATGATCCAGGGCAGCAAATCCCATCCCCAGACCCAAGTATGGGCACGTGGCTCAGGCCTGGCAAATCATGATATGCCAACAGCCTAGCACATGACTGGTCAGGAACAAGCACATGACCCAAGTTGGCCCAGTGAGATTTCACCCTGGAATCATTGAGGCAAGAAGACCTGGGGGTGCCGAGTGTGTAGGACGTGAACCTGGAGCTGCAGGCAACCATATTGCCACCATGAGGCAAGAGAAGGTCAGAAAGTGAAGCCAAACAAAGGAAAGCAGAGCTAGGAGAAGAGAAACAGAGACCTCAAGATAAGCATCCTTTCATTCTGGCACCCAACCCTGAACTTTTTCTGTACCTTTCTGTTACAAGACCAACAAATTCTTTTTTTTTCTTCTTTTTTTTTTTTTTTTTTTTTTGGCCAAAGTTAGTTTGAAGGAGTCTCTGTTCCTTGCAACTGAACAAGTACTAGCTAACATAAAAAGCAGAATGAAGATGGGCGGGCACAGTGGTTTATGCCCATAACCTCAGCACTTTGGGAGGCCAAGGCAGGCCGATCACTTGAGGTCAGGAGTTCGAGACCAGCCTGGCCAACATGGTGAAACCCTGCCTCTACTAAAAATACAAAAATTAGCCAGGCATAGTGGCACATGCCTGTAATCCTAGCTATTCAGGAGGCTGAAGCAGGAGAATTGCTTGAACCCAGGAGGCAGAGGCTGCAGTGAGCTGAGATTGTGCCACTGCACTCCAGCCGGGGCAACAGAGCAATACCCTGTCAAAAAAAAAAAGAAAAGAGAGAGAAAGAAAGAAAGAACAAAGAAAGTGACTTTTCCTTAGTTTTATTTTTTACAAAGTCAGTACAGCATTTGCAACACTTCTAACACAGATCAGAAAAAGATAAGCTTTTACCTTATTATAAAATTATTCAGCATATAAGTTAAAAAGAGAACCACACGATCACTGAATCCCATGTCTCCAGTGGTGCTGGGGTGCTAAGGCTTTGAGAGCCATCAAGTAGCCTGTTCCAGCATTTCTATCCAGCAATCCCTGCCCCACCTACATTAACCCCTGCTTCCAGGAGAAGTTATCATCTCCCAACAAGAAGGTCACAGACTGTGGCCCCCGAAGCTGCACCTGTGTGAACCTCTGAGCTCAGCCACCAGCCTCCATGAAGTCTCCACATCTCCTTATCTCGGTGAAGAAGTGGCTGTGGCCACGAGGGCTGCGAACAACGACCCAGGCTTCTTCCGCAGGACCTCCGGCCGATCAAACTCTACCACCTGGAGGGTAGAGAAAGGTGAGGGGAGGATCAGGGCACAGCTGAGCTTGTGTCCTTGGAGGACTCAAAGGCATCCGGGGTAGCAGCCTGAGCCCTCATCCTCCCACCAGCCCAGGGACGCAGCCTTCACCTTCCCATTGGCCATAACCAAGATGCGGTCACAATTGAGCACGGTGGTGACACGGTGGGCAATGATAAGCACGGTGCAGCCCTGGAAGGCTTCACGGATTGTGCGCTGGATCAGCGTGTCCGTCTCCGTGTCAATGGAGGCTGTGGCTTCATCGATAAGGATGATCTGATGAATACAAAACAGGGGTGAAGGCATCTACTTCAGGCCCTAGAGACCTGGGTCTTGTCCTGGTTTACCACTAATTCACCAGGGCCCTTCCTCTCCAGGTCTCCATTTCTTTAGCTGGGAAATGCGAGAATTGTGCTGAGTGCAAAGTCCACTCTGACTGCGGATTATCCATTACCTTATGAAGAGAACGTTAGGTCTCAACCAGGAGCGAACTGCATTTTGGTGGCCAGAGAATTAAGTTCTTGGAAATGAAAATGGCCCAGTGGCAACTTCTTGTTTTATTAACTGCTTTCCCATTTACCTAAATGAAAGTAGAGCAGTGTTCTCCAAGAAGGGGCAGGCACACACCCCAGGAGGCACATGAGATGATTTCTCCAGCATATGGATCAACACTCTTTTTAGTTTAACATTTTTGTATTTATTTCATTAACGATATGCATGAGGAAACTGTAACTCGCACTGAAAGTGTGATTTCACAAATGGCACTGCTTGGGATGAGGCTGTTTTTGAAAAGGGAATATCAGTAGTAAATCACAGGGTAGGTGGTACCCAGAGATGATAAAAATCATAGAGTAATGACTCAAATTTGGGAAGCAATACAGAGGAAGCCATTGCTGCACCAAATGGTTATGTAATTGAAATAAGGAAGTGTGAAGTGAAGAAAGTACTACATGCACATTGCAAATTTGTTGTTCATCTCTCGGAAGAAGAGGGGAGAAAGTCCTACCTCCTCTGAAATTTTCCCAAGCTTTGGGTCCCACTGAGCTCTTTTCCCACAGCTCTGAGAGTTTGCACCAACATTTTTTGCATTTATCATTAATTAACATGTGTGTTTATTTATTTATTTATCATTAATATGTGTGTGTGTGCGTGCATACGTGTGTATGGAGGAGGTGTGTACATATGCATGCATAAGTATGTGTGTTCATGCGTGTGTTGCCTCACCTATGTAAGAGAAGGGTTGCCCCAGGCTATCCCACATACTCAAACACCTGAAATTATGGACAAAATATCCAGAAAGCTTCTAGAAGTTCCACCAAATTTTTAAAAATATGCAATTTTGCAGCCATAAAAAAGAATGAGTTCATGTCTTTGCAGGGACATGGATGAAGCTGGAAGTCATCATTCTCAGCAGACTAACACAGGAACAGAAAACCAAACACCGCATGTTCTCACTCACAAGTGGGAGTTGAACAATGAGAACACATGGACACAGGGAGAGGAACATCACACAACGGGGCCTGGCAGGTGGTTGGGGACAAGGAAAGGGAGAGCATTAGGACAAATACCTAATGCATGTGGGTCTTAAAACCTAAATGATGGGTTCATAGGTGCAGCAAACCACCATGGCACATGTATACCTATGTAACAAACCTGAACGTTCTGCACATGTATCCCAGAACTTAAAGTAAATTTTTTAAAAAATGCAATTTTGCCCTGGATCAGCATCTGTCATCCAATTCCCAATTCTAATAAAGATAAAAGGGATGTCCTGCATCCAAGTTTTTAAAGAGGACACAGTAGGCAATTTTAAAATCAACAAGTTCTAATGTGTTGTGTTTTTCTGAGAAAAAGAGAATCATCATGCGGTCTAGTTGGAGACCATTTCAGCTCAGATGTAAGGAATCCGGCTAACAGGCAGCCCAGGCTGTGAATCTCATCTACCATGCCTCACCCACACCACAAATATGTGTGGAATGGCACTCAGTGAAATGAATAAGCCCATCTTGAATTAATTTTTATATAAGGTGTAAGGAAGGGATCCAGTTTCAGCTTTCTACATATGGCCAGCCAGTTTTCCCAGCACCATTTATTAAACAGGGAATCCTTTCCCCATTTCTTATTTTTGTCGGATTTGTCAAAGATCAGATGGTTGTAGATGCGTGGAAACAATTAAGAAAATGTGGCACATATACACCATGGAATACTATGCAGCCATAAAAAAGGATGAGTTCATGTCCTTTGTAGGGACACGGATGAAGCTGGAAACCATCATTCTCAGCAAACTATCGCAAGGACAGGAAACCAAACACTGCATGTTCTCACTCATAGGTGGGAATTGAACAATGAGAACATTTGGACACAGGGTGGGGAACACCACACACTGGCGCCTGTCATGAGGTGGGGGGAGGGGGGAGGGATAGCATTAGGAGATATACTTAATGTAAATGACGAGTTAATGGGTGCAGCACACCAACATGGCACATGTATACATAGGTAACAAACCTGCACATTATGCACGTGTACCCTAGAACTGAAAGTATAATAAAAAAAAAAAAAGAGCAAAAAAGAAATGAATAAGCCCTTTGGATTCCGTTGTTGTTGTTGTTGTTGTTGTTGTTAAGACATAGAGTACAGAGCCCAGTGTCCCATGGTCGTGAAGGGAGAAGGAACCGGTGTGGCTTCCCTCATCATGTGTAGTCTGTGGCTTCCCCTGGCCATGCAGCAGTGGTGGCCTCACCTTGGAGTTGCGAAGCACAGCCCGAGCAATGCAGAGCAGCTGCCTCTCCCCCACAGAGAAGTTTCCACCATTGTCCACTACATCCGTATGCAGCTTTTTGGGGAGCTTTGAGATCTGTGATATGGGAAGAAGAGACAACATAACCTGGAAGCCACTGTGGGGTGAGACCCAACCTGACCTCATCAGTCTCCTATTTGGGAAGGCACTGTGGGGTGAAAGCCAACCTGACTTTGTCAGTCTCCCACTGTATTGGCAACACTCCCCTCCTCTCTCTATGCTCCAGCCTCTGTCTTCTTGCTCCTTAACTGTGCCTTGCTCGCTCTCATCTCTGGGCCTTTGCATACACTATCTCCTGTGCCCAGAATGTCCTCTCAAAAGATCTTTCACCAGCTGCCCCTCAGTTCTTGGTCTCAGCTCAGCTGTCACCTGTTTAAAGAGACCTTGCCTGGTCACCCAGTTGAAAGGAACTGCTCCTGCACTGAAGTTTCTATGCGTCTCATTACTACCCATACAGCCCTCACCAGTATCTGAAAGTATCTCCTGCATTTACTTGTTGCCTTTATCTCTCATTGAATGTATGTACCAGGAGAACAAAGACCTCATCTGCCTTGTCTTTGCTGTGCCCCTGAGCCTAGAACAGTGTTTGGCACACGGTTGGTGTCTGAGTGCCATCAGCCTTGACTTAGGAATGCAAAGTCATCTCATCTCCATGAGAGGATGCATCCATGACCCGAAGCAGCAGCAGCTGGCACATCACATAAGGGGAGCCCAAAGGAGCAGGCCCCCATGGGCGATGCAGACTTAGATCAAGACTTGGGCCTTGGAGCTACTTACAGCCTTGGTCAGTAATGTCCTCTCCAAGGCATCCCAGATCTGCTGGTCGGTGTGACGGTCAAAGGGATCTAGGTTGAATCTGCCATATGAGAGAAAGAGAAGTGTTCAACAACATCACCCAGCCTTTGAACACCCATTTATATGCCCAGTGAATGACCAAGAATATTTAGAACTAGATTATGGGGTTTAGGAAAATGCATGGAACCACCACGCATGGAGATTTCCTGTGCCTCCCAGCACCTGTTCCTTCTGCAGGCAGCAGCCCCGGGTTTTGTTTAGGGGACACCTCCTCCACAATCCCCCAGCCCATGTGTTCCAAGGCGGGCTCCGCCATCCACTCCAGATGGAGCGAAGGGCTCAAGGATAAGCCAATCGACATACAGCAATCGCTGGCCACAGTGCTTAGCTCGGGGTGGGAAAGTAACCAATCAGAGTGTATCTCAGGACTTTTCAGGCTACCATGAGAGAAGAGACGTGCGGAGAGATTGCAACCATCCTCCCACAGGAGTGGGACACATGGAGCTCCCCAGGGCCCTCATGTGGAGTTAAGAATGAAGCAAGACAATGCTAGGGGAAAACCGGGCCCTGGAACTCAGCCTTGGCCTCCCCATTATCATGCATGAGTCATTAGAGGCCACTTTTGCTTAAGCCATTTGGGTTTTGTTTTGTGATAGAAAGTACATAATATTTCTCATTTTAACCATTTATAAGTGTATGATTCAGCAGCATTAAATACATTAATAATGCCATGTAACAATTACCACTATTTATATCAAAACCTTTTTCATCATCATGCTGGGCACGGTGGCTCACACCTGTATTCACAGCACTTTGGGAGGCTGAGGTGGGCGGATCACTTGAGGTCAGGAGTTTGAGATCAGCCTGGCCAACATGGTGAAACCCCACTCCACTAAAAATACAAAAATTAGCCAGGCATGGTGATGCTAGCCTGTAGTCCCAGTTACTTAGGAGGCTGAGACAGAAGAATCACTTAAACCCAGGAGGTGGAGGTTGCAGTGAGCTGAGATGGTGTCACTGCTCTCTAGCCTGGGTGCCAGAATGAGACTCGGTCTCAAAACAAAACAAAACAAAACTTTTTCATTATCCCCAACAAAAACTCCATACCCATTAAACAATCACTTCTCTCCCCTCCCCACCAGCCCCTGGTAACTTCTATTCTACTTTCCATCGATATGGATTTGCCTATTCCAGCTACCTCATGTAAGTGGAATCACGTAGTATGTGTCCTTCTGTCCGGCATCTTTCACTTCGTGTCCATCCATGTTGTAGCATGTATCGTTTCCCTCCTTTTTACAGCTGCATAATATTCCATTGTATGGCTATACCACATTCTGTTTTTGCATTCATCTGCTTATAGACGTATGGCTGGTTTCCACCTTTTGGTTACTGTGAGTAGGGCTGCCCTAAACACTAGTGTATACATATGGGTTGAAGTCTCTGCTTTCAACACTTTGGGATATATAACTGGAAGTAAAATTCCTGGATAACATAGTAATTCGATGTTTAACATTTTTTGTTTCTTGGTTTTTGAGACAGGGTCTCACTCTGTCGACGAAGCTGGAGTGCAGGGGTGAAAACACAGCTCACTACAGCCTTGACCTCTTGGACTCAAGCAAGTCCCCTGCCTCAGTCTCCTGAGTAGCTGGAATCGCAAGCACAGACCACCATGCCCAGCTAATTTTTGTTTACCTTTTTGAGGAACTGCCAAATTGTTTTCCATGGTCTCTGCACAATTTTACATCCCCACTGGCAATGCACGAGAGTTTCCATTTTTCCACATCCTTGTTAACACTTGCTATTTACCTTTGATTATTGTTATAGCCATTCTAGTGGGTGTGAAGTGGTAGCTCATTGTGGTGGGGCTGGAGTTTCTGTTTCTTGCAGTGAAAAGAATCCTAACATCCAGGTAACTGACAGGAGAGAGGGAATCTATCTGGACTTTACAGCCAGCAAGCTTTACACTTGCGTCTGGAACAGGCGGCACTATAGACACTTCCCTGCTATTCAGCCGCGCAGCCCTGAGTGAAACCCATCAACCTCTGCTTTATCCTTCCCCAGTTGTGCCGGCCACACATATCTTGTGTGTAGGGCTAATGGGTACTGAAGAAGTGGCAGGTCTTATTTGCATGACATTTGATGTCTCCAAAGCACTTTCATAGATGGGTTATTTGACATTTTCTCCTCCATGAGATGAGTTATACCCCTTTCTTATCAGTTTGAAATGGCTTGTTCAAGGCCGTGCCACAAGCCAGTATGAGAGCCAGGCTGACATCAAAGACACTCAGAGAGACGCTTAAGGGTAGAGCCTTAAGTTCTAAGGTACGATTTCAAGTCCACATTTCTCTCTGCAGCAAGGGGTGCGCAGAATATCGCAAGTTATGGGTTTAGAACACCTAGGGTTATAGCTCTTCTTCACCATTTCTCTGTGTGTCCTTAAACAAGTCCCCTTCCTCTCTAAGTTCTGTACCTTCATCTGTAAAATGGGGATAATGAAAGGGCCTCCCAGGGCTGCTGGGAGAGTTAAATTAGACAGTATACTAAAGCATTCGGTTGGCACACATAAATGCTCAATAAATGTTAAGTTCATATTTTTACTACTCTTCATGCCAATGCACAGGAGATTCGGCCACATTCTACTGTAACATCGAAATCCATCACTAAATGTCTTATCATTCCCCTAACACGACCGTTTTGTTGTTGTTGTTGTTGTTGCTGCTGCTGTTTTTTAGTGGGGGTGGGTTTGAGACAGAGTTTCCTTCAGTTGCCCAGGCTGGAGTGCAGTAGCGTGATCTCGGCTCACTGCAACCTCCACCTCCCGGGCTCATGCGATTCTCGTGCCTCAGCCTCCCGAGTAGCTGGGATTACAGACGTGCACTACCACATCTGGCTAAGTTTTGTATTTTTAGTAGAGACGGGGTTTTGTCATGTTGGCCAGGCTGGTCTCAAACTCCAGACCTCAAGTGATCCGCCTGCCTTGGCCTCCCAAAGTCCTGGGATTACAGGCATGAGCTGCCCTGCCTCACGACCCAGTCATTTTGAAACTGTGTCTGTGCACATATTGTTCCCTCTCCTTGAAAAGAGTTTCTCTCCTATTTCTGCCTGGCAAGCTCCTACTTAGCTTTCAAGACCCTGATCAAATGTCCCCTCCTCTGGGAAGCCTTTCTGGATTCACTCAGGCAGTGACTCATCCCACTTGTAACTCCCTTAGCATTTTGTACATATCTCTGACTTAGCAATTACCTCTTCCTACTGTGATTTATTGGGTCTTACCCCTGTAGAAAACCATCTTCCCCACCCACACTGCGAGCTCCTGCTGGGGGAGCAGGGGAAATGCACATTCACTAAACTGGCTCCAGTCCCTAGCACAGTGTCTGGACCAGGCAGAAGCTCAGAAAAGGCAAGTTAAATGGGTGGAAGGATGCATGAAGGAATGAATGAATGAAGCTCTGGGGCCCAGTTTATCCTCCTGGCTCTAAGAATTCTCCTTAAATATCACAAAACATGGGGGACCTAGCCTGCTTTTTAGTGCATCTGTCTTCCTCAGTCCCCATGCCTTTATGTTTCCTCCCAGATAAAGTGCATTGTCAGTAGGAGCCTAATCTGGATAAAGCTTCGTCCCTGAGTTGACTTCTGAGGACACAGAAAGTGTAGTGAAGAGGCTGGAAGATCTGGTTCTGTCTGCTTCACTGACTGGGTTGCCTGGATTTTTCTCACTTCACCCCTGTCCAGAATGTGTACCATTGAAGAATCACTTCCTAAAAACGTCCCCAGGGGCTTTGCCCAGTGCACGGAGAGAATAAGCCACATCTGGACAAGAAAGAATATGGTAGCCTGAGTCCAGATGCTTAATGGTGTAGTGAAATCTGACCAATCCCATCAGCATTTTGTTTCTGTTGTTTGTTTGTTTGTTTGTTTTTTAATAGAGTCAGGGTCTTGCTGTGTTGCCCAGGTTGGAGCACAGTGGCTATTCACAGGTATAGTCATAGTGTACTACAGCCCTGAGCTCCTGGGCTCTAAGCGATCCTCCTGCCTCAGCCTCCCAAATAGCTGGGACTACAGCTGTGCACCACCATGCCCATCCAGTTTCTAAAAAATAAAAATAAGCTTTGTTTTTGCGTAGAACATTATGGTTTACAAAGTGCTCTTATATATATTGAGGCCTCATTTAATCCTCAACAGTACTTCAGTGAGGTAAGCCTGGTAGGCATGAGTGGCCCAGCAGGCCAAGGAGGCCTGGAAATCGGGGCATTGGTCACCAGCTCACTATAGGCAGCCCAGTGCTGGAATCCTGGTCCTGTGACCTCCCTCCCGCAGGCTGCCTGCTGGCCGAGCACTCACTTGATGGTTCCCGAGAGCAGCACCGGATCTTGAGGGATCACTGAGAGCTTGGACCGCAAGTCCTCCAGGCCGATGCTGCAAATGTCCACGCCGTCAATGAGAATCCGGCCTGCCATGGGCTCCACCAGGCGGAAGAGAGCCATGCCCAAGGAGGACTTCCCTGTGGGGCAAGAAACGAGCAGGGCCTCAGTTTCCTGCATCTGCACTAGTGGAAGCACAGGTCACACCTGGCGATCGCACCTGACCCACTGCCCTCCATGGCCCATTCTTCATCGTTGTGGGCCCTGAAAGGGTAGGAGAGGGCTGGTGTCTCTGCTCCAGGCATATCTAATGCCATGAGCAGCTTCTTACAGCCTAGGTCAGAGGGCACGCGTGGGGCCCCTGGATCAAAGCCAGCCCACAGACATGTTTTGTTTCGTACACACAATGTTAGGGTTAGTTTGTAATTCCTTGCCAGCATTTTAAAAAATCCTAGATATAAAAATTCAAATCGCATGTTTCTCTTGAAACTTAGTAGAACTGGCAACACTGGACCCATATACCCCCCCAGGCAACAGCTCGGCTGGAGCTGAGCATGGCCGCTTGGTTGAGACACAGTGGCGTTCTCCAGTCACCACCCGCCCTCCCCAGCCCCCGTATGTCACACCAAGACCCATGGCACTCAGCTATGTCACCTGCCAGGTGACATAGCATTGGAGGTTTCGACCCTGTTCTCAAAGATAAGCTCTGCGAGGGTAGAAGCTGTGTGTCTTCTTTACCTGTAGGTTCCCAGGCACATAGTAGGTGCTCATAAATACCTATTGAATGAATATAGTCAGTAGGGTCAGAATCTACTGAGAGCTTCTCTCTGCCAGACCGTGGCCCTCTCAGGGTTTCCACCAATCGGCAGGTGGAAAATAGCAAGAGAAGAACACCCAAAAGAACATATGTGGAAGCTCTTCACCCTGCAGTGCGCGAGTGCTGGGGAGACAGAGACCAGGAAGGCTCTCATCATCCATGGGACTGCCTGGAGGAGGCAGCTCTGGGGTGTCCAGGGGTGGGGGACAGGGGACAAGAACCAAGTCTGAACAGTAGCTTTCGAACAATGCAAAGAGGCAGAGGGAGGGGGACTTGGGCCAGATCTCCCAGAAGTGACAAGAGAGGAAGACAGGGAGAGAAACTGAGGAGGAGAAAGGAAACTGGGAGAGGAAAGAGGAGGAGACAGAGGCTGATGAGAGCAGTCCAGGAAGGGGGTGGGGAGAGAGGAAAAGGGGAGTCTGGATTTAACTCCTGTCCTGCTCTTCATCCCGGCAGTGCCCTGCACTGCCCCTCCAAAAGTGCTCCTGCCCGGACCCTACATACCTCAGCTTAAGCACTGGGCTCAGAGCCCAGGTATCCACAGCCTGGCACCACTGGCCCCATTATTCTGCATTCACCACCCTGTTTATTTTCTCCCTGGCAGCCACCGCAGCCTGCAGTTGTCATATTTCTGTCTTTATTTGCTGGTCTATTTAACATCTCTCTCCTCCACTGGAATCCCATGATCAAAGGGACCTTGGGTTTTGCTCACCAGTGTTTGTCTAGCACAGGGACCAGCACAGCGTGAGGACCTAATACACATTTGGGGGATAACTGAGCAAACACATGCCCCCAAATAAGTCTAGTGCCGAAAGGGCAAAGGAGGAGCTGGGGATGCTCCCCCAGGAAGCTCAGCTCACCAGAGCCCGTCCTTCCCACGATGCCCACCACTTCGTTGCTGCGGATGGTCAGGTTGATGCCGTGAAGCACAGTGGGTGTGTTGTCTCTGTATTTCATGTGATAATCCTGAAATGTGATTTCCCCATGCTGTGGCCACCCTTGTGGACAACTTGTGCCTTCCATATGTAAAGGAGCTTCAGAGATACACATCTTGTTTTTGAAGAAAGAAAAGGAAATCAATAGTTATCATCCATCTCGGCCCATCCCCTGCAGGCCTGTCAGCCTCCCACTGTAGGGGGTATGACCCACCCCAGCCTGCCCTGCACCAAGGTCAAGCCCCCTGTTGTGTAATCAGAGGAACATCCCCCACCCCCCATGCCCTAAAACACACAAAATTTTCCCCAGAAGAGTGAGAAACCTGCATAGCTGATTCCCTTGTTATTAACATATAGCAATGTTCCTGATTGGCTGTGTGACTCGAAAGAAATAGAATCCAAGATAAAGACAGTAAAGGCAGCGGAGACTCACGCCTTCGGGGGGTTTCATAGCTCAGAGCCGTTGTGGAGACTTAATGTCTCTCTATCCTCATCCTATGAGACAGGCCTTTTTAGAGGCATTTACCAGGTGAGGAGATAGAGGATCCAACAACTTAAGATCAACAACTTACTTAAGATCACACAGTTTCAGGTTGGAACTCAAACCCAGATCTGCAAGTGCAGTTGTGTGTGTTGAGAGGAAAGAACACTGGAGAAGTTGGGTCTGACCACCTGGCTGCAAGCCACAGCTCTCCACGCTGGTGCCATGTCACGGCAGCATCCTGGGCAGGAAATCAGGGCCCTACAATTCTTAAATTCCACTCATGCAAGGGGGCAGGAGACCTGGTTTGCAGAGGGCTCTGCCAGCCCCAGCCCGTATGATCTTAAGCAAATGTTCTGCCTGGGCCAACCTCGGTTTCCTTGTTTGAAAAATGTGGATAATCATTCAATCAACCTGATAAAATTGTTCCGTGATCCCATGAGATAATCTAGGTAAAAAGCTTAGTGCCATGCCTGGCCCGTAGAAAGGTCTCAATCACAATAATAAAGAACATGATGGAGCCTCACTACGGGTCAGGCAGTGTACTACGCGCTTTACGTGTTATATCATTTCAACTTTGTGATAATCTGGCAAAGCGATGCTATTGTCTTTCTCATTTCAGAGATGGGGAAAAGAGTTTGAATAAGTTGCCCAGGTTATTCCAATGATTCAAATGATAAAGCTTAGACTTGAACCCAGGAAATCTGGCTACAGAATCTGTGCTCTTAACCACCATGACATAAATGGAAGCAATAATAAGAACAAAGATTATTGTCATCATTATTATTGCACCAGGCAAACCTCTCATTTCTAAGAGGAGCAGATGATCTCCTCTTCCCCCTAGGAATGCTGTGAGGGATGTGGACAAAGTGAGCAGACAGGTGTGGAAGAGCTTCAGCAAGATGGTCAACAAAAGTCTGGGGAGGAGGGGGAGGAAGGACCAGGAGCCTGGTGTTTCCTGGGACGGTCTCTGGGCTCTGAGGTCATGGGGCTTGTAGAGGTCACAGAAGTCATGCCCCAACTTGCATAGCTCCCCACACCAGACCCAGACCTGAATCACACCTTCATGTACTGCAGCATCCTCTCTGCAGCCATGAAGTGTGCCTCTGTCTCTGCACCAGTCCGGGCAGCGGCCTGGAAGGTGGACGCCAGCTGGAAGGAAGGAGAAGTGTTGGGGGTCAAGAGGCTGCTGGGGTGTGCTCAGGCTCTTCAACGCTCCTGACAACCACTGATTGCCATTGCCCCTGAGTGACCCCTGAAACTAAGATAATTTTCCTAGGAAGAATGGAGCAGAGGCCGCTGGTGCCCCCTCAGCCCTCTTCTGAGTTTAGCTGCAGCTGCGATGGACCATTCTCTCCCCAGATACTGTTCCACCTCAAGTGCCCTCTGTATGTCTTTCTGCTCAAGACCTCTGCCCACATCACAGCAACCACCTAGCCTGTGCATGAGGGCATCCCAGAAACCCAGGAGACTTAAGGCTACTGAGAATGAACTTTGACTGATGGGGAACAAGAGCTAGCAGAGATAAATGCTCCCATGCTCCCCTTTGAGGGCATGGTCCTGGGAATATCCCATACGCTCCTCAGGAGATCCCAGGACAGTTGAGCCCTAGTGACATAGAACAGGGACCCCAATGTCAGACTTCCATGATGACTTCCTCCTTCCCCGTCTCACTTTTCTGCTCCCTCAATCCTGGTTCCTGGTAGCACCTCCCAAATAAGCTGCCTGCACCCAAGTACCTGTCTCAGGTCCTGCCTTCAGGGAAACCCAGGCTAGAGGAGTGAGGGACTCTTGGGAATTGGGGGTACCAAAGATAAGGAAACTGAGGCTCCAAAAGAAGAAATTACATTCATAGAAACATCTAGAAGCTGGAGGCAGAGCTGGGGTTAGGGCCCCGGTCTATAACCTCCATTACCCTGGCCCAAGAAACGGGCAAACAGGACGTGCAGGGGGTGCTGGGTAACACATTCATCTACATTCATTCAACAAACTGGTGGATGGCTCTGTGCCAGAAGCTGGACCAGGCTCCATGTCCCAAAGTGTGGCAGATGTAAGCCTGCCCTCAAGGAGCTCCCAGCCGGATGGAAAGGCAGACAAGGCAACAAAGAATAAAGTGCAGAGGGGTGCACTCCACAACGGAGAAGCCCTGGAGAGCCACTGGGATGCACAGGAGGGGTCCTGGATGAGGGCACAGGGAAGGATTCCAGAAAGAGTCAGTCCTAGAGTGACATTTTTAAGGTGAAGTAAGATGCAGTGGGCTAAAGATGTGTGGAGAAGAGTGTTCCAAACAGAACAGCCTATGTAAGCGCTGAAAGCAGCAAATTCACAGATTACACCCAGGCACCCACAAGCTGTTTGGCTATGGCTGAAACAAAAGGGTGTGGGAAGGAGGGGAAGCCCTCTGTAAGTCAGAGAAGATGGGCACCATGATGAAATGGTGCTTAGTCTGGAAAGGAGGCCGGGGTGGGTTGGAAGACCACTTTTCCTCCCATCCCCCAGTGTATCACACCCTGTGGGCTGCCTTGCCAGCATCATGTTCAGGTGTCTGATGGCCTTATGCTTCAGGGAAGCTTGGTTAATCCAAACTAATCACATTAATTCAACTCCTCTTGCCAGAGATTGGTTTATGTATGGGCTCATGATGCCATTGCGGCCATTGAAGGATGAGAAGGCATCAGATGGGTGTGTTCTTGAAAACTTCTCTTTGCTTTTAAAAAGGAACAAACACATGGAAAAAGTTATCTCCTGTCCAGCCTTTGACTGTTATTGTGGGAGGATGTGTCACTTGGGGCTGCAGCAGCCATTTTGTGACCAAGAATACAGACAGACTTGCAGACAAAGCTAGACTGTGGATGCCAGCACTAAAAGGTAGAATGATCAAGGGTTCTTGCTAGGCCACTAAATGAGTCAACTGAGCATAGCCCTACCCCAGCCTTCTGGTTACATGAGAGAATAAGTTCCCAGATGGTCGAGGCCATTTTGGGTTGGTTCTTTGCCTCACAGCCAGATGCATCTCTGGCATTTCCTGAGAAGCCTCTTAAGGCTACAAAGCAATGTGATGTGTGATTCCTGCCTCCCAGTGCTCGAATGTAATTTTCTCAAAAGTGCATGCAGAAGTCAGTGAGGTCCTGGCTTGACTGCAGCAGAGGGAGCACATTGAGGTCAGGACCCCATAGCTGAAGTTTGGTAGACAGGAGACAGAGTTTTCGAAGGCTTCTGAACAAAGCAGTGACATGAGGAAAACTATAATTAAAGATTACTCTGGTGAGAGTGTGGAAGGTGACTTGGAAAGTGCTGCAGGGCTGGGGATTGAGAAGTTATGACCAGGATGAAGATAAGATGCTTAAATAATACAGCAGACCTTGAAAAGAAAAAATGACCCTCAAGGGCCCTTTTGAAGCAGTCAGTCCCCCAGGCAGGGTTTCCCATTTGAGTCTCCGGTGGTGCAACCACCTTGGAGCAACCGCCTGCTGTGAACGGGGCACCCTGGGAGAGACGAGCCTCTGCCTCGCTCCTTACAGGGGCTGCGCTTAAGGCAGCGCCAGCACTGGGCAAGCTTCGCCCTGAGCGTTGCCCTCCTGATCTATGTCCTGAAGCAGCAGCAGGAGGGATTTCTGGGCCTTAGTGATTCTGAATCGCCTAAGACCCTGGTGTGGTGCCTCTCCCTGAGTGTGCTGGAGGTCTGGGGGTCACTCTGCACTGGTGCATCTGTGTATATCAGAGAGAGAGAGAGAGAGAGAGTGTGTGAGCCTGTGCACACACCTGCATCTTACTGACTATGGGAACATGGCCAAGTTACTTAAACTCTCTAAGCCCTAAGTTTTCTATTTGTAAGACCAGAACAATAATAGCTAATATTCATTGAGCGTTTATTGCAGGCCAGGCACTACTCTAGGTTTTCACAAGCATTAAGTCTCACATTTACACATAATCCTCACAAGGCTATTATTTTTGAAACCTTTATTATCTCCTTTTTACAGATGAAGAATCCCAGGCACAGAGAGGTTAACCAATTTGCCCAAAGCCACACAGCTAATAATGGGCAGAGCCTCTTTGAACCTGGATATTCCAAACCACATGTTCTTTTTTTTTTTTTTTTTGAGATGGAGTCTCGCTCTGTCACCCAGGCTGGAGTGCAGTGGTGCGATCTTGGCTCACCGCAAGCTCCGTCTCCCGGGTTCACGCCATTCTTCTGCCTCAGCCTCCCGAGTAGCAGGGACTACAGGCACCCGTCACCATGCCTGACTAATTTTTTTTTTGTATTTTTTTACTAGAGATGGGTTTTCACCGTGTTAGCCAGGATGGTCTCGATCTCCTGACCTCGTGATCCACCCACCTCAGCCTCCCAAAGTGCTGGGATTATAGGCATGAGCCACGGCGCCCGGCCCCAAACCACATGTTCTTAACCACTTTGCTCATCTCATGCAGTGGGGTGAGCATTGAATTCCTGGAAGAGAGCACAGCCAGTGCCTGCCATTGCACCGGCTCAGTGGAAGTCTGTTTCAAGTCTTAGGCACATTTAAGTTTGAGAAGCCCTGTTCTAGGGGCCGGGCTGCGAAACCCACCTTTTAAACGACCCTTCCAGGTGATTCAGAAAGGTTTGACAGCTCAATCAGGATAGGAACGGTTAGGTACAAAGACAGCAGCCAGGAAGCCAAGAGGTCAGGGTTCTCTTACCAGCTCTGCTAGCATGCATCTGTTTGGACAAGTCCTTCCCTTGTCTGGGCCTCAGTTTCCCCAACTGAACAATATGAGCATTGGACTCTGTCGCCTGTGGGCTCCCCTTCATTCCCAGTGTCCTGTGATTCTATTAAATACCTTTGAGTGCAGACTTCCCAATTCAGAGCTGACCACGAGGAAACAGAGCAAAGTAGCCAATTTCAGAAGGCCAAGCACGTAACTCCTAAGATCACATGTGGCCAGAACTTAAGGTGTCACTGAATACCTGAGGACCCCCTGAGTCTGCCCAGAAGCCGCAGGCAGAGGATGAGCAAAGCTCAGAGAGGACCCACACAGAGTCACCTCCTCACCTGCAGCACGATGCTGAGAGCCATGGCTTTAAGGGAGTAGGAGGTGGAGGAAATGCCAAAAGCCACGAACAGGGCAACAGCCAAGGTCACAAGGTTGGTCAAGATCTCCAGCCTCAATGCCACCCATCGCGTGGAAGACAGAAACAACAACAGGTAGTTGTTCCGCGCATCAGTCAGCCTCTTAAACCTGAGAACGAAAGCACAGACTAAGAACCACGTGTTTGTCTGACCCAGGGTCTCCCCGGGTCTGGGTAGATACCGGCTGCTTCCTCCAGCATCCAGGTCCCCACTCCCAGCAGCAGGGCCTGATTTTTCTTTGGGGAGTTCCTCCCTACCACTTTCTCAGCCATGAATTTGGGTGCAGTTGACCTGACTCCTAACCCAGATTGAGGAGTAGGCTCTGCCAGTAAGGCCCATCCTTAGCACGCACTTCTCGCCTAACCTCTGCGACTCACTCAGAGATGGGTGAGTTACCCTAAACTGGCCACAGAGAGTGAATAAATGCCAGGACGTGTGAGTGAGTGTGGGAGTGGTTCCTTTCAGTGGGATGATGGGAGATCCGAAACTACCATTCTGCTACTAGGAGGGGAGCCTGGAGCCACCAGAGGGTCTCTGGAAGCTTAAAGGTAAAATAACACAGTGGAAGGCAGAGCAGTAAAGCCAAGACACCCGGGGAACATTAGCTGAGTCTCTGGATTAAGCCTCACTTTAAGCAAGTCCTCCTCCCCAGCCTTTTGTTATGAAAATTTTTATAAGTACCGAGAGAGTAAAAGCTTAATGAACATCTGTATACCCACTAATGAAAAATTTTTGAAGTATCAAGAAATTAAAAAGTTGGTTCCAAGAACCTCTGTATACCCTCTACCTAATTTAGCAATTGTTACTATTTTGCCATATTTAAGTCATACTTTTAAGCTAGTTTGAATTAGTTTTTTCTGTCACTTTCAACCAACAGAGACCTACCAATTTCCAATTTTCACATACCACCATCACAGTTTTCCATATCAATCACAACCTATACTGTTAATTGATTAGTATTCTTATTTTACATGATTTATTTGAGAATGTATATTAAAAGAAACTTTACTCACAACCTTAAATTATATAAATAATGGCTTTGATACGTTAGTTGCATTTTTTCTAAAGTACATTCAAATAAAACTTTGATTATTGAAATTAAATATTCATTTACACATCAACTAAAACCATCTTACCATCTGAGTGGGCTATCACCCCAGCACAGTGGCCCTTCTGACTCACTCTGTCCATACCCTCCGAACCTTTGCATAAGATATTCCAAATTCCGTCCACCTTACCTTTCTATACTGATTGAGTCACCTCCACCTTGAGGCCTTCCCAGATTAAACAAAACAGACCCTGCCCACTCTGTGGCCCCTGTGCTCAAGCCACCTTGCTATCCTTCAAACCTACTCCCCCATCTCACGGTCTTTGTGTTTACTGTCCCCTCTGCCTGCAGAGGTCCTGCCCACATAATTCCATAGCTCAACCCACACTTGATTTAGATCTCTGCTCAGGGTCCTTTTCTCTGAGATCTTCCCCAACAACAGCTCCAATCCCTCCAGTCTCTCTTTGTCTGCGTGTCTTGGTATATACCTTGGGGCAGGGTTCTCAGTGTGGGCTGAGCGAATGCATTGCTCCAGGATCCCTTCAGTCCTAGAGTCTGCACAGACCTTGAGTGGTCTATAATGCCACTGAGAGAGCAGGTGCACAGTTCATCCAATATTCCAGCTAACTGAGCACATACCATCTCCCAAATGTGTGCCCAAGTCTTACCCAGGCTTCAAGGCCAGCTCAGATGCCACCTCCTCCTGAAAGCCTTCTCTGATCCCCCCAGGCCACTTCCTTCCCCTCTGAACTCCCAAGTAGTTTATCTGCCCCTCTTTGATGCCATCTATCTTCTTCAATCATGTATAATTACAAAAACATGTGCCTGTTTCTCCCTTTTCCACCAGACTATGAACTTCTTGTAGGTGAAGACCGTGCTTGATTATCCTCTACAAACAGATAAGTTCATGTTACACCATTAAACCTCAACAACAATCACAGGACTTGTTTGCTTGTTTGTTTCAACATTTAGGAGGCAAATCTATGGCATGAGTAGTGAAGGAAGTTCTGTTATTTAGAAAGCTATTGTTCCTTATTGTTTTGTTAAAGTTAGATATTTGTTTGGAAGTGAAAGAAATAACATAATGCAAGATGTGTTTGCACAGTAATGCACCCTATCATTAAATGTATGTATACATATGTCCATATATATACACACACAATATATCCAAGGCCTTTAAAGTTTACAAACATTTTTCCTATTATTTACATTTTTCATTATTATAAATGAAAGAATGGCTAAGCAGGTTCTGGAGGCTCAGAGAAATAAGTCCATGGAACAATGTGCTCTGGTGCTTTTGAGGATGATGCCATTCCCAGATGCTCCATTCTTTCCCTGATCCCCACCACCCCTGTGGTTCCATCATTCTCAAATGGCAGCAGAAGGACTCACTGGCTGATGAAGTCTTCAGTTTTTCCATAGACATGGATGGAGCTCAGGCCTTGCAGAGAATTGAGGATGTGGGAGAATAAAGGGGACCGGCTGTAGTTCTCCAGTCTCTTGAACACACCGATGGCCTTCTTGAACATCCTGCATAGACAGTGAAAGTAAGGGACCTGGACCGTCCACCTCTGGGACCATCTAGTCTGGGTTGGTCCCAGCCTTGCTCCCCAAGTCACAAGCAAAAAGAACCTACTCACATATAATAAATGAAGCAAATAACCATGATTGTAGCTCCCATTAACAGGATATATGGAGACAGCATACTGATAACCAACAGGATGGCGATCACCAGCAAGGACAGGACCATGAACTGCTCTGAAAAGATGGGCAAGAGCTGGTCCAGCTCTTCCAAGTCCCCTGCAAAGCAGTTCAAGAGCCGGCCTATTGGGATGGTGTCAAAGAAACTCATGGGGCAGCGGAAAACCTGCAGGGACAAAATCAGTGTGGACCGTGAGAGAAGCTGCAGGCCCTCCTCAAGATTGGATGAAGATGTCTATTACCCTTGACTCTAAAGAGCCATGGGATGTGATCCCAGGGGTCTCCAGGGCAGGCAATGTAGAGCAATGGTTTAAAAGCACGGATGGGCTCCATGGCTACCTGACTCCTCCACCTACTGCTTTCTGACCTCGGGCAAGTACTGAGCTCCTCTGAGTCTCAAGGTCCTTGTTAGTGAAATGGTGATGAAAACGATGCTTCATAGAGTTGTAGTGAGGATCACACAACTCCTCAAATATACTAAACACTGAAGTGTATAATTTAAAAGGGTGAATGTATGGTATATGAATTATATCCTGTAAAGCTATTAGAGAGAATACATTGAAAATGCTCAAAGCAGTGCCTCCCCCGAGGTAGGAGGTGAGACTTGACTCTGGAGGCGGGGTTTGAACGCCAGACCAAATTGAGGACTAGCTAAAACAGGGGCAGGGTGGAAGCCACTTTCCATAAGACAGGCCTACCAGTGTGTCATGTCAGTTTACCACTGCCATGGCAACATCCAGGAGTTACCGCCCCTTTCTGGGTCATCAATGACTTGATGACTTGGAAGTTGCCACCCTTTTCCTAGAAACTTCTGTATAAACTGTCCCTTAATCTACATGTAATGAAAAGTAGGTATAAATATGACTGCAAACCTGCCCTGAGCTGCAAGTGTCAGCACACTGCCTACGGGGTAGCCCTGCTCTGCAGGGTCAGTCATAGAGCTGCAACACTGCCAGAACTGCAACACTGACACTTCAATAAAACTGTTTTCTTCTACCCTACCACTGGCTTGCCCTTGAATTCTTCCCCGGGCAAAGCCAAGAACCCTCATGGACTAAGCCCCATTCTGGGGTTTACCTGCCCTGCATCACCCTCAGTAGGCATTCTATCCATACCAGCTCTTATGATTTTCTACAGATGGGACCATTTTCACTCAGGACTGCCAAAGATTAGCAGCAGCAATCCCACCGTGGCTGCACACGATTTGGACCCTTGGATCAAATTTAGCCATAACTGCCCCCTTCTTGAAGGTGGTACCTCCAAGTTGATCTCTAACAGCCAGTGGGCATGAGGCCTTTCAGAGATCAAAGGACATTTCAAACCACAGGGTAGGCTCTAACAAAAGCATCTCGTTTGGTGTCCTTGTTTTGCAGATGAGGAAACTGAAGATTGCAGAAGAGGAAGTGGCTCTGTAACTTATTCGTTACCCAAGTGGTTAATGGCAAAACCATGATCCAATTAAGGCCTTCTGAGGCTTTCCCAAGCCTGGCACAGTCACTCTTCACAGAAGGCAATTTCTTAAAGATTCATGGCACTGACAAAATGACCACCTACATTTCCCCATGTACTTCTCAAGCTATAATGCAAGAAGTAGAAATGAAGAGAAGTCAATGGCATCTATTAAAGTCAAACTCACGGAAAGAGGAGGGAAGGACATTTTGACTACTAAATGTAATTATTTGAGCCATGAACTGTTCCCTATAGCTGCTCTCATTGCAAATGCATGGATACTGCTGACCAAGTGTAGTTCTCATGTATGTTTGCTTTCTAGCTGGTGGGGTAGTGAGGGTCGGAGGGGCAGATTTAGGGCCACCTTGCTTTTTCTGCCTCTAAAATGCCTTCAGTTTTATTTCCAGAATGTTTTGTTAAATACTTGAGCTAAAGTAACCAGAACTGTCATGATCACTCAGAGGAATCAAAGAGCAAAAGGGTCACCCCTTCAAGGACTCTGAGCACACCTTGCGGGTGCGGGGCATGGCGGGGTTCTGGAGGAGACACAGGAACGGACCTCATTTCCACTGTGGGTGAGGAAGTGCATCTGTGGAAGCCCAGCATTACTCTGGATTAGGGACCAATGGTGGTGACAAAGGGAAAAGGGTTTTGGTTTCTGATTGTCTTCTAAGTATCAAAACGATCTGGGGTTGTTCTTGTTTGTTCATTTTTGCTTCCTTTTTTTCTGTTGTGCTTGCAGTTGAGCGAATTTTTTCAGATTTATCCTTTACTTGTGATTCTTTAAAACTACAAAGACAAATTTAAAGTTTAAAAAGCCACGAAAGGACTGGAAAAACGAAAATATCTTAAATACGAAACACATTTTCATGGAAAGAAACTTGAACATTTCTCAAAATTAAAATACAAAGTGTCATGTAGAGGCATGGGCACTGGATATTTCTAGAATCTTGGAATGTGCCATCAAAAGAAACTCAGAGACCACCTGGAGGGCTGAGGGCCACCCCCAGAGGCCGGGTGGGAAAGTGTCAGGCCTCAGGTAGAATGTCCCCCTCCTGCTTTCTGATTCTGCCAAGCTTTACCTGAGAGGTAGGGAAAAGCATTGTCTCACCCTGCCAAAGTTGAAACACTTGATGGCAACACAATTTGCATTCGGTCTACAAGGAACGATGGGCCACTCCTCACCTCCCGTGTCTCCAAGTCAAAACCCCCACTCCCACCTCTGAGATCAGCCTTCTAGAACTCCATTCGCCTCCCAGAAGTGCTCTGCTTTTGTTCACCTTCAGTCTCCTGGTCTTGAGCTGGCTAAATCTGATTCCTCCTTCAAGGAGACAAGGTGCCTCTTACATTCTCATGGCCCTGTGTGCCCCATCCCATTTTCTTGTCCATCTTCTCCATTAGACTATACACCCATAATGGCCCAAATCCTACCTGCACTGTGCATTCTCTGATGTGAGCCCCATGGCCACTGCAGAAACTGGCACATAGTAACACTTAGTAAGTGAGGGAGAGGAATGACATTTCCAAGAAGCAGTGTGATACCACAGACAATTTGGGGTGTGTGTGTGTGTGTGTGTGTGTGTGTGTGTGTGTGTGTGTATATATATATATATATATTTTTTTTTTTATGAGATAGGGTCTCACTGTCTCCCAGGCTGGAGTGCAGTGGCATGATCTTGGCTCACTGCAACCTACCTCCCTCCCTGCTCAGCGATCCTCCTTGTCCTCCCAGTTCCCCGAGTAACATGGGTGAACAGGAACAGCCTCCATGGTCCGGCTATTTTTTATATTTTGGTAGAGACAAGATTTTTGCCACCGTGCCCAGGCTGGTCGGGTTGACTTCCTGAGTCAAGCGAATCCACTCCTCGGGCCTCCCAAAATTGCTGGGATTCAGGCGAGGCATCCGTGCCCAGTGGACCAACAAATTAAACCAAACACATATTCCATTTACATACGGTGAGATTTCAGTATCCTCCTATGTAATGAGGGATAATATCCCTTCAAGAGAACTCAGGGATATAAGCAACTCTGCACGGTGACCATGCTCGCCGTGGAGGCCAGGCGTTTGCTGTGGCCCTCACAAAGGGACACTTGAGCTTCTACAACCAGACTTCCGCAGCGGGGATGGACTCGCCTCACCTTCGCAACTCCTCTCATCAGCCCGCCCGGTTCACGCCAGCTGCAACTGACGCTTTTGAAAAGCAAAAGCTATGATTATTAGATAGTAAAACACGCAGCCCTCCGCTGGCTTGCCAGGAGCTTGAGGGTAGGGAGGCGAGGAGATGATAGGTGCGGGCACAGGGTTTTGTTTATTGGCAGGGGAAGCTATTCTGTACCATGGGATTACATGTATTATACATTTTTTCAACAACCCACTAGATGCCAGCACAAAGAATGCACCATAAGGTGACCGGTGGACATTGTTAATATAAATAATCATGTATCCAATCATTGACTCATCAACTTGTAACAAAGTCCCATGTTATGAAGATGTTTTTATTCTTTATAATAGGAGAAGTGGGCCAGGTGCATTGCCTCATCACTGTAAATCCCAGCACTTTAGGGAGGCTGATGATGGGCAGATGACTGGCCCAGGAGTTCAGACCAGCATCTGCACATGGCGACCTGTCTCTACAAAAATTACACAAAACAATACAAAAATTAGCAGGCGGGTGGTTGCTGCGCCTGGTGGTTCCAGTCTCGGAGGTTAAGGTAGGGCTGACTTTGTCGCCCAGAAAGGTTGAGGCTTCGCAGTAGGCTGTGGATACCCACTGCTTCGGCCTGGGGTGATAGGAGGGTAGAGAGGGAATCTCTGTACGTGTCTGTAACAAAGTGCTCAAAACAAAGTTGTCTGGGCATGGTGGCTACCACCTTATCCCGGTACTTAGAGGCAATGTGGGAGGATTGGTTACCAGGATTGAGCCAGCTGGGACATGCAAGAACCCTATCTACAGGATAAATGAACTATTACCGTCTACTAATTTTTAAAAAATAGGGGGTTATGGTCGATCATGCCTGATCAGCCACTTCCTTGGGCGCTTGAGGTGGATGGATCACCTGCGAACCTGGGTTTGGACACTTGGGCATGTGGTGAACCCAGGTCTCTCAACAAAATACAAACGTGTCAGATCTGGTGGCATGCGCCGTACTCCCAGCTGCTGGGAGGCTGGCAGGAGGATTGCGGGAGGTTGCCTGTTGAGTGGAGATTGGTGGCACTACTGCACTCCAGCCTGGCGCTAATGCTCTAAAATAAAAAATAAAATGAAGGCTGGGCAGTTCGGGGCTCAGCGCCTTCAGGCCGCCCAGCCCAGGCCCATACTTGTTGAAGAGCTTGTTGTGGAGCTCGTGGATTTGCCTTTGTGACTTGGTGAAAATCCTGGAGGGCAGACCATACACATATGAGGGAGCAGGGTTGTTGAGGCCATACACAGCTGGTTAGAAGACAGTTGAGGATCTGTCTGCACGTTGCCAGGTCTGCGTGGTACATTGCTCTCTGGCTTGCTATTGGTCTTCAAGAAGAACAGGGGGTCAGATGCAGGTGGTCCAGCGGGGATTCAGGTGGCAGGGGAGCCTTCTCCTGGGCCACGTGAGACTCCGTGGCCTGGTAGATAGGTGCAAGTGTTTGCGCCAAACTCCCGCTAGCGCTTGGCTATTCTTCTTTTGCCTTTCATTCCCACGCACCTGCCTGCACCTAGCCCTCGGAGTCTGCCCTGTGGACATGCCGCAGCTGGGGCCTTGCACAGCTTGCTGCGATGCGCCGAGGAACTTGGAGACGTGATTTCCGAACCCCTCTGGCTGGTTTTCAGGGCGTAGATTGCCAAAAGGAGAGCACTACAGGGAAAAGAAGGTGGAAGATGAGAAGCGGACGCTCAGTGGCAACTGTGGGCAGGGCGGTTGGGGTGTGGGTTTTTAGAGCTAGGAAGGCTCCTGGGGAACACCCATTCGTTCAGCTGGATCCCTGATGGGTGTTCCCCTCCATGTTGATGAGCCCTCTAATTCTATATTTCCTTGAGCTTAACTATCTATGTAGTGGCTTCTGCTCTCTGCCACATTCTGGTGACGCGTCCAGAATAACATGAGCATGTGGGGAAGCATTGGCTTTCGATTAAGGGTACCAAAGTTCATGTCCCAGCCTGTCCTGTCCTAGGGCAGTTCTTCATCCTCTAGGACAGGGTCACTTGGGAAAATGGACAGTGGACCTTGCCTCCAGAATGTGGGTGGGAGGATTAGTGAAATAACTTGACACAGTGTGGCCGGTTGGTGGCCCAGCTCGACAAGAACAGAAGTTATTTTAATACCATGTGTGGAGGGCCGCCTGGAGGCTAAAAAGGGAGGACGTTACTGCAGTGGAATGGAAAGATTCTTAGGGGCACCGACTGGTCTGGGGACTATAGATCTCTGGGTTTTCCAGTAAGAGGCTGATCAGGTGCCACTATTTACAAAATTCAGGAGGCCTAGCGGAGGAACCCCAGAGTCCTTGGCTCCCCGATGGTTCTCGCTGGAACACCGCTCTGGGCTTGTCATGGTGGGTCAAGACATGCTCTGGCTCTTGTGGTTCCAAGGAGCAAGAGTCACCCACCTCACTCAAGCCCTAGAAACGCCACCACTCAGGCACTCACCCTGAGCCTGCTCACCAGTAGCTCAGCCCAGAAGTGAAGATGTGAGAGATGATCAGGCACCATGAAGAAGACAACTATGCAAAAGAGACAAGGTACGCTGGAGAGGGGGAGACAGTGCGTGATGTACAGGGTGCCACAAACAGGTGCGAGGCCACTGTGACTCAGCTGCTCGGCCATCCCCTGTCTTTGGTGCTGGGACAACCTTGGCCCCCACTGTGGACAAAACCTTCTTGGGGAATGGAGGAGGCTGGTTCCAAAGTCGGGGCCCCTGGGTTAAATCCTGGCTCCACACTTCAACGTGTGGGACCGTTGGCAAGGTACAATGTCGCAACAGTGCCCTTTCTTTACCTATGAAATAGTGATAACATTACCAGCTTCAGAGCATGCTGAAGATGAATTGAGATAGGTGTGGTCAAGCACTCGCCAGTTGCGCTGGCAAGGGCGTCGTTCTGAAGTTCGTTCACCTTTGCAGTCCTGCAGGTTCAGTTTTATACGGTAACATAACAGCTACGTGCTTCATGTGGTACGACTATTTACTATCATGTGTTCTGCCAGGAATAGTTATAAATGTATGCAAGTTTTCTGAATTAGTATTCCCTATCCTTTTGCAGAGTGTATTGTGGTGATGTATGTGTCTCTCAAAATGTGTGAAACAAATTCCACGGTGATGGTTTAGAAAGTGAGGCTCTAGAGGTGCAACCATGAGGAAATGGAGCATCATGAAATTGGCCCCCCATTATGCCCTTAAGAGGCTTCGAGGCTGCTCCCTGGTTTTTTGTTCCTGTTCCACTGTGGGAGAATGATACAAAATTTCCCTCAGGGAGGGAGGCGCAGCATTAAGGCGCCATCTTGGAATGTAGCATGCTGGGCCCTCACCGACACCCAGACTGCCAGCCGTTGATCTTGGACTTCCGCCTCC